CCGGCAGGGTACAAGTCTTTTCTTAGAGTTCACAAGAAAAAACTTAATATCCCTAAAGTGACTACATTTAATTATCCACAATTTATAAAAAACATCGATTTTGCAATATTGTTTTCAAGTATTCGTCAATGGATAAAAAAACATCATCGCATACGTCCAAAATTACGGGAAGACTATTTTATTAATAGTGATTCAGAATATGCATCATTTTTTGAGTTTGACGACTATTTCGACGTTCGAGAACAAGAGAAATTAGCATTTGCACAAGCTATATTTGAAGTAATTCTTAACAATAGTTCATCAATCAAGAAACTTTTAATTCGCTTACCGGATAACAATGATTACTTATCAAGTTGTCTTGGTGCATATTTTGAAGAACTGTTTACAACACCTGAAGCCATTCAACAATTATCAAATCTTGAACATTTTGAATGTAGTGGAAATTTTTTAAAAGCGGATTTTGTTAGAGATGTGATGGAGTATGCATGTAATATCAAAACATTTACACTTGAATTATCAGAAGATGACTATGGGCCGATAGAACAATTAAGTTTTGGCATCTCTAAACAAAATAGTTTGGAAACATTACGTCTGATTTGTAATGATGAAGATGATCTTACAGAAATATTTAAAAGTTTAAATGGAATATCAGGATCTCTTCGATCACTTGAAGTCACTAACGGAATTCTTGATAGTGATCTTTCAGGGGAGTATTTGGAGAAATGTTTCCAATTAAGAAATTTAACCTTTACAAATCTTGATGTTTTCGGAGAAAAAAAGCCATTTGCTAATGCGGTATTTCCACATCTTGAGGAACTTTCATTTACAGATACATATTTTGACCTAGAGAGTGACATTAAGGAAGATCATCATTGTGAGATTATTACGCAAATTATTCAAAATAACGGGCGATCATTAAAAAGTCTTAGTATACTTGTGTATTGGAATATTTGTCCAGGTTTTCCAAATACTATTTCACAAAATTGTCAAAATCTTAGGAATTTTACTATAAGGATTAGTTCGTTTGAACTTATACCATATTTATTTGACATTCTACGAGAATGTCAGAACTTAGAGACGCTTAGTATTCTAGGAACTCAAAAAGATGTTTTGATAGTTGATGTATTCATGATGGATTTTACACAACTCTTACAACAAAAGCTTCGTTTTCTCGATGTAACCAGTTGGGTGTTTGGGCAGAAACAATTTACAACACTTTTAGATTCCTGGCCAGGTCCTTTGGGCAGTTTAAAGTGCAATGTTAGTATTAAAGGCATTAAAGATTTTAAAGATTTTCAAAATTTGGTTCAGAAATATTTATGGAGGAAGAATAAAATGTTAACGAAATCTAAATTCAGACGAATAAGAAATTATTGGTTAGTTGATGTAGAATGGCACTAAGGGCGAACGATTTTTTTGGGGGTTATTATATTTGAATAATCTATAAATATACGTAATTTGTATATGTATCAGATAAAAATTTAATTAAAATCAAGGGGTCATATTATTTGATTATACCTCATTTAATTGAAAGGTTTTAAAACAAATTAACATTGAAATAAATATAAAATTCGATATAGGGCTTTGGCTAAACGAACAGATTTAATTTTATAATAAAATTTCTTTAATATAAACATTTTATAAATGATTATATATGACAATTTGATCTCTCGAACGTTGTAAATGTAAATTCAAGTTCTCGAAAGGACCTAATCTCGACAAAGTTAGCGGCATTACTCAATGCAGGCAAATTTAGGTAGTATTATGTCTTTTCGGGAAAATATCCTTCGGACAATCGTAAAGTAACCTACTAGTAGGTTTCAG